ATGGTATAAAATTCTCCTGGCTTCAGGCACTGGGCTGCCCATGCTCAAGTGTGGCTCCTTAGATGAGAAGGCCTCGGAAGGGCACCCGCCCACCCCTAGCACTCACCTGGAATGGACTCTGTTAGGTTTGAGCCGGTCCAGCCATCGTAGAACTGTGCAGAGTTCGGGCACAGCTGCAGCCAGGGGCCAGGGAGGTGGTTATGAAGTGCGTGCTAGATCTTGTCACTTATGGTGGCCTGAGCCCAGAGTGGAGCAGAAAGCCAGCCTCCAGGGGTGGAAGAGAGGAGGCAGGAGCACCAATGAGGAAGAGGCTGGGCCTCACCACTGCCCACTCTGACTTTGTCTCGTAAAGTCCAGGCATGGCCAGGAAGAGCTGCAGGGGCTTCAAGCTCTGGATATTTTGGAGATGGGGGTCCCATGAAGACTGAGCTGGCCTTGAACCATGATCCTTCCCAACTCAGCCTCCCAAGTAGCTAGGATGACAGGTGTGAACCACCATGGTGTGGCTGGTGCCTTGAGCCCAGATGTCCTTAGTTGGCACCCTACATAGAGGAGATGTGAGCATGAGACATAGAGGGGATGGGGCTTCTGGCCTTGACTGTGTCACCGGACAAATCTGCCTTTCTTAGCCTCAGTTTCTCCAGCTGTAAAACAATTGACATCTTCACATGTCCACAAGCTTCCTTCTATTAATTGACTTCCCTGTCAAGTGTTCAAAACATCCCAGAGCCTAAGCTCGTGTCACTCTGCTCATCATCCCAGGCCTCACAGCTTGCAGGGGAAGGCTTTCGTGAACCAGTGTGAACCTGAAGGTCAGAGGTCAGCAGCCACACCACTCTTTTTGCGGGGGAGGAGGCTGGATATTGGAGTTGGAACTCAGAACATGCTCTTGCTAGACAGGTGCTCTACTGCTTGAGCCACACCCCCAGCCCAAATTGCAAGTCTTCCAGGAACGACTGAATAGTTGTCTTGGGTAGTTTTTGTTTTCTTCGGTGTTGGGGACCAAATTCAAGATCTTGTACGTGCTAAGCAAGTGCTCTACCACTGAACCGCATCCCTGGCCCTGACTGCCACCCTTTGAGGCTCTGAGAGAGGAGGAGGAGGACACTCACCCCACAGGTGACCCTTTGTGAAAGAGACCTCTACATCTCTGGGGTGGAATGCGTGGCTGAGTGTTTACAAAGGGCCCAAGGGTGGCTAACAGTGGGGGCTGGGGGCTGGGGGAGGGACCTTTGTACGCTTGTGTATTATATAATAGTTTTAAAGCCATGTGTAAAAAGAACAATGCAGGAGGTATCACAATACCTGACTTCAAACTATATTACAAAGCAGTAACAATAAAAACAGCATGGTACTGGCACAAAAACAGACATGAAGACCAGTGGAACAGAATAGAAGATCCAGATATGAAGCCACACAACTATGAGCAACTTATCTTTGACAAAGGAGCTAAAAATATACGATGGAGAAATAGCAGCCTCTTCAACAAAAACTGCTGGGAAAACTGGTTAGCAGTCTGCAAAAAACTGAAACTAGATCCATGTATATCACCCTATACCAAGATTAACTCAAAATGGATCAAGGATCTGAATATCAGACCACACACTCTAAAGTTGATACAAGAAAGAGTAGGAAATACTCTGGAGTTAGTAGGTATAGGTAAGAACTTTCTCAATGAAACCCCAGCAGCACAGCAACTAAGAGATAGCATAGATAAATGGGACCTCATAAAACTAAAAAGCTTCTGTTCATCAAAAGAAATGGTCTCTAAACTGAAGAGAACACCCACAGAGTGGGAGAAAATATTTGCCAACTATACATCAGACAAAGGACTGATAACCAGAATATACAGGGAACTTAAAAAACTAAATTCTCCCAAAACTAATGAACCAATAAAGAAATGGGCAGGTGAACTAAACAGAACTTTCTCAAAAGAAGAAATTCAAATGGCCAGAAACACATGAAAAAATGCTCACCATCTCTAGCAATAAAGGAAATGCAAATTAAAACCACTAAGATTCCACCTCCCCTGTTAGAATAGCCATCATCAGCAACACCACCAACAACAGGTGTTGGCGAGGATGCGGGGAAAAAGGAACCCTCTTACACTGTTGGTGGGAATGTAGACTAGTACAACCACTCTGGAAAAAAATTTGGAGGCTACTTAAAAAGCTAGACATCGATCTACCATTTGATCCAGCAATACCACTCTTGGGGATATACCAAAAGACTGTTACTCCAGAGGCACCTGCACATCCATGTTTATTGCGGCACTATTCACAATAGCCAAGTTATGGAAACAGCCAAGATGCCCAGCACTGACGAATGGATTAAGAAAATGTGGTATCTATACACAATGGAATTTTATGCAGCCATGAAGAAGAACGAAATGTTATCATTCGCTGGTAAATGGATGGAATTGGAGAACATCATTCTGAGTGAGGTTAGCCTGGCCAAAAGACCAAAAATCGTATGTTCTCCTCATATGTGGACATTAGATCAAGGGCAAACACAACAAGGGGATTGGACTATGAGCACATGATAAAAGCGAGAGCACACAAGGGAGGGGTGAGGATAGGTAAGACACCTAAAAAACTAGCTAGCATTTGTTGCCCTTAATGCAGAGAAACTAAAGCAGATACCTTAAAGCAACTGAGGCCAATAGGAAAAGGGGACCAGGAACTAGAGAAAAGGTTAGATTAAAAAGAATTAACCTAGAAGGTAACACCCACGCACAGGAAATCAATGTGAGTCAATGCCCTGTATAGCTATCCTTATCTCAACCAGCAAAACCCCTTGTTCCTTCCTATTATTGCTTATACTCTCTCTACAACAAAATTAGAATAAGGGCAAAATAGTTTCTGCTGGGTATTGAGGGGGGGAGGGAGGGGGGGGGTGGTAAGGGAGGGGGTGGGGGCAGGGGGGAGAAATAAACCAAGCCTTGTATGCACATATGAATAATAAAAGAAAAAAGAAAAAAAAAAAGAAAAAAAAATAAAGCCATGTGTATGAGTGCCTTTTGATACAAAATATCCCAATATAAGAAGCTCTTTATCCTGGTGCCTAGAAAACTGGTTGGTGTGACCCCAGTCCAGGGAGTGGGCAGAGCTGGGAAGGAGGGGCCTGGGGAAGAGGGACTGGTCAGGCTCCTCCTGACCCCAAGTTCACACCTTTCGCTTTTACCTAAATCAGCCTGTTGAGACAACTAAGGCAGCCTGAGGGCGGGTTCCTCTGGAGATCAAAAATAGAGTTGGGAGTGCTGAAGGGGCACAGAGGTCAATTGAACAAGTTGTACCCAAAACTGGAACAAACTATGGTGGCATTGACTCACGATTCAAGTGTGAATTTAATGGTTCAAGTGTGATAACCAGGAAAGAGAACTCTCCCACGCCCAAGGATTATGCAGATGCTCTGCCTGGGGCAGGGGACTCTCCACTCTTCAAGGCGGCCATGCCTAGTCACACCCTTACAAAGAGGACAGTATGGAGAGGACAGTGGAGACCCTGACAGACATACTGCAGCCAGGTGCCCAAGGTCACCATGGACTGCAGTGCAATCAGCCGTGTTGATAGAATGTACTTTTGTGATGGCATGACGTGGGACTTTACCTCTCTGGTCTTCCCCGCAAACCCACAACCCTGATTTGTTCACCAGGAAGACATGAGACCACCCCAACAGAGGATCCTATAGGAAGCACTCACTCAGCGCCCCTCAGAATGGCCAAGGTCATCAAGAATAGTTTTACTGAAAGCTGTGTGTGGTGGTACATACCTGTAATCCCAGCTACTTGGAAGACAGAGGTGGGAAGATGAGTATGAGGTCAGCCTGAGCAGTTATCTCAAAAACAAGTTACAAAAGGGCTGGGGGGCTGGGTCCAGGCCCTGGGTTCAATTCCTAGTACTGCAAAGGGTTTTCCTGAGAAGGTATCACAGCCAAGAGGAGAGGAGTTTCTTTCTTTCTTTTTGGCAGCACTGGGGTTTGAACTGAGGATCTCATGCTTGCCATGCAGGTACTCCTAGTACCATGCCACCTTGTTTTGTATTGGGTTTTTCGAGATAGGGTCTCATGAACTATTTGCCTGAGACTGGTTTCAAACCTCAATCCTTCTAAGTAGCTAGGATTGTAGGTGTGAGCCACCAGCAGCTGGCTCACATTTCATTTTTTCCTGGGATTACTCATGTGCAACTGGATGCTGTGGGGCACACCTGTAATCCCAGTACTGGGGCAGGAGGAGCTCAAGATCGACAACAGCCTGGACTACATAGAGACCCTATCTCCAAAACAATAAAACAACAAACCACTTGTGTGCCTGATACAGTGCCTGAGGGGGCTCAGGCCGGTTTACATCATATTCTCTTTCTATAAACCTTTGTTTTACAGGCCTCAGAACTGGGTCCCCCGGAGTCTGCTTTGGGAAAGCTTGAGTTTGTCAGTGAAAAGCAGGCCAGGTGGCGGTGGTGGCACATTTTGTAACTTATGCACTTTCCCAACAGGGTTTAGTGGGTGCCTTGCCACCAGAATTCCTGAAGAAAGCAAGTGACATGAAACTCCAAGGAGGTTTGTAGTCTTTGGTTTTCTCAGTAAGTTTTAATTTTTTTTTGCGGCACTGGGGTTTGAACTCAGGATCTCATGCTTGCTAGGCAGGTGCCCCCAGCCCTATAAATTTTGTTTTGTTAACAATCTCATACTTCCTAGGAAAAGCTGAGCTTGTATGTCATTTTGGGCAAGCCAGGCCCCCAGCCTGGGACTGCATTTCTTCATGTATCGAGCTGAAGAACTAAGAGGAAAAAGTGTTGTGCATCTGAACTGAGGGGTACAAAGCTTGCCCAGCGCTCAGGTCCTAGGACTTCATGTCAGCGAGCTTCTGTGACATTCTGATGGTCGGTCTTTATGTCAAGTAAGAAGTCTGGTGGCCCTGAGTACAGAGGCTTAACTCATGCTGCCCACGGCCGGCCAGCTTTCCTTTAACCACAAAGGGTTTTGAAAACTCCCTGGGTTAATCTTGCTAAGGTATAACTCGGTCACAGTAAAGTGCTGTGCCCTGGTGGTACATGGGTCCAATGTTTTGTTCTGTTTGTTTGAGGAAGGGTCTTGCTTAGTAGCTTAGGCTGGCTTTGAACTTGAGATCCTCCTCAGACTCCTAAGTGCTGGGATTACAGGCATGCACTACTACCCTGGTGGCTCTGGATTTTGACAAACATCCTCCTGGGCAATGGACACCATGATCAAGACAGAAAAGCTCCAGAAACTTCCCTCCTGCCCTTTTATGGTTTGCCATTCCCCCACCCATGGGATCCTCTGATCTATGCTCTGTCCCACTAAATTTGATATTTTTTAGTCAAGTGACAAGTCTACACCCGGCCCCAAGTCATGGCCAGCCTGAGGCATGGCCGACCCACCTGCATCAGGGCAGCATTCAGCACGACTGGCTTCCGGAAGCTTCAGAGAAATGCACGCCATCGCCTCCAGGTGCCACAGGTCCAGGCTGGGATGGGTGTGGAGGGAGGAAGGGACTGTTGTCCAGATGGGCAGGCCCTTGGAAAATACCCATCTTACTGGTTCTTGGTAAAGATTTTTTCCTCTTCCAGCACCACCCTTTGAGCCACTCTACAAGCCCTTTGTTTGCAATGGGTTTTTTTTTTTGAGACACAGTCTCACAAACTATTTGCCTGGCTTCAAACTGCGATCCTCCTGATCTATGCTTCCTAAGTAGCTAGGATTACAGGTGTGAGCCACCAGTGCCCAGTGAGGATCTTTCTTTTAATTAAGAAAAGTGAACAAAAAATCCCAGAGCAGTTTTCTTAAGAGGGCAGCCTGGGGTGAACAGGAAGGGGGCACCAAGCAAGGTCCGGGCCTGCCTCTGTGAAGGGAAGGAGGATCTAGTGTGTTCCATGTCCTTCTGGTGTTGTGTGGAACAGATAGGGCACCTTTGTGTCTTCCCCATGTGACAGTGAGCATAGGCAGTGGCTGGCTGGTCCTGCTTCTCTGTGAGTGAGACCCAGGCTGCATCGGGGTCCTTCAGACCAAACCGTCTAAGGGCTCCCGAGCCTCTGCTCAGGCTCTGCAAGCAGCTTCCTTCCTCGCTATGCCCCATCCAGAGGGCGTGTGACTGGCATGGCAAACCCATGGTGTGGGCAGGGGACACTGCTCAGCTGCTGTCTTCTGCCTTAGGACAAGTTGCATCCCAGCCTTCCTCCCCCAGGTCACTCACAAAAAGAACCACCTGGACTTCGCGATTGCAGAAGGTGTATGGAGAGAGGTAAGTCACAGAATGGCCCTGCGGGGTGGGTGGGAGTCCCCAAAGCCAAGGCTAGCGGAGGCCACACAGGGAGCAGACCTCTGTGAGGAGAGAGGGTTTGGACCTGTTCCTTTCTGTTGCATTGAGCCCAGGCCTCTCGCATGCTAGGCAAGCTCTGCCACTGAGCCCTCTCCTTTTTGGTTTTATTTTGTTTCTGAGCTAGGGGACCAGGGCTGATCTCAAACTCTTGATCCTCTTACTTCAGCCTCCAGAGAAGCTGGGATTACAAGGTGTGTGGCACCAGGCTGTTTTTTGTTTTTTCTGTTTTTGAGACGGTCTCACTATATAGCTCAGGCTGGCCTAAAACTCCATCTTCCTGCCTCAGGCTCCCAAGTACTGGGATTACAGGCATGCACTAGTATTTTTGGCTCGTTTTTGAGACAGGGTTTGCTGTGTTGCCCAACTGTTCTCAAACTGGCTCACACTATCTTCCCTGCCTCAGCCTCCCGAGTACTGACTGGGATTACAGGCACACACCACCATACCTAGCTAGTCAGCAATTTTATTTTTTGGTTCTGGGGGTGGAACCCAGGACCTTACACAGGCCAGGCACACACTCTACCACTGAGCTACCCAGCCCTATGTTAGGATATTTGACAAAAAACTCCTATACTTTGGTATCTAAATGGACTGTTTTTCCTCATTCAATTTTTTTTTAAATAAGGAAAAAACAATAAACACCATAACTCAAAGTAGCTGGCCTGGTAGGTTTGCAGTTACTCAACCTCCAGATTACTCTCCACCCAAGTTCTGCTCAGTGTCAATACTTAGTTCAGGTGAGGCCTGAAATGAGCGGGAGTGAGGCCAAAGACCAAAATGTGTGCAGAGGTTGTTTCAGCCAAGCCCAGAGTGCGTGGGATAGTGAGCATGTATTTTTTTTTTTTTTTTGTGGTACTGGGGTTTGAACTCATGGCCTATACCTTGAGCCCCTCCACCAGCCCTTTTTGGTGATGGGTATTTTTGAGATAGGGTCTCAAGAACTTATTTCCCCAGGCTGGCTTCGAACCGTGATCCTCCTGATCTCTGCCTCCTGAGTAGCTAGGATTACAGGCGTGAGCCACCCGTGCCTGGCTCATGCATTTGTTGGTAATAAATGTCCACTGTCTCAAGAGGAAATGAAGGGCTGGGGTATGGCTTGGTGGTAGAGTGTATTGCTCAGCATGCATTGTGCCCTGGGTTTGATCCCCAGCACCAAAAAGTCACTAAGAAAGGTAATGAACTCTGGGAAGGTTTTCATCTCCCAAGTGAAATGACCAGGCCATGGGATCCTGCGTTGGTTCAGCTCTGGGCCAGTCTTAACAGCTCCATAGTGTGCAAATGATTAGTACACATGTGCATGGATGCACTTTCCTGAAGGCACGGTGTGTGTGTGGATTGCTGGAGGTGGGCTCACTCCTCCCAAGGCTTCCCACCATTCCACAGAGCATGGAAGTTCACCAAAATACAGCTTGTTCACCACAGAGGCTGGTGTACAACCATTCAGGTTAGCTGCAGGTGACTTAATCTTTAGACCCTGCAACTGCTCAATTCACTCAGTCAAGACCACTGAGGCTGACTGCAAGTGGCTCAGTGGTAGGGCACTTGCCTAGTGTGGGGCCCTGGGCTTCCTCCCAGTGCTTGGGGGAAGAAAAAAAAAGAAAAAAAGAACACTGAGGCAGCCAGGTGCTGGGGGCTCACGCCTGTAATCTTAGCTACTCAGAAAGCAGAGATCGGGAGGATCGCAATTTGAAGCCAGCCCAGGCAAATAGTTTGCGAGATCTTATCTTGAAAAAACCCAACAGAAAAAAGGGCTGGTGGAGTGGCTCAAGGTGTAGGCCCTGAGTTCAAACCCCAGTACTGAAAAACAAAACAAAACAAAACAACACAACACAACACTGAGGCAGGTCAGTAAAAGGGAGGAAGACAAGAACCAGGAAGTTCTGTTATGGACAGTGGGGTGAGGGTGGGTGTCACCAGACTCCCACAAAGCCCTGCTAAGTCCTTGTGAGAAGCATTTGGTGGCATAGGGTGTAGCATGCGTTACCTGTTGCTGCCTCACCTTTGTCTTTGTAACCTTTAGCTTAAGACTCATTTCAGCTTCTTTCCAGCCACTGTGGTCTGCCAGCCCTTGGTACCCCTGGACAGCTGATGTGAGGCACCACCGTGCACATGTGCATACTGCTGCTGGGGTCCTCATGAGGGCAGAGAGAGCAGGACTCGGCATTAGCCTTGTTTACCCTTCCCTAGGAAAACAGCATTTTGCTCTTTGGGAGAGGTGTTAAGCAGAGTGAGGGACTCAGACCCACACACAGTTGGCAGGGCTTTCCAGTGACAAGGCCCACGCTGAGCCAGGGTGATGGACTCTCAGGCTTTTAGGGTACAGTTTTTTTTTTTGACTCAGGGTCTTGCTATGTTGTCCAGCTGGCCTTTAACTCCTGGGATCAAGTGATCTTTCTACCTCATCCTACCAAGTAGCTGGTAGTTATGGTGTGTGACCCAGACTTGGTTATTTATCTAATTCATTAAAAAGATTCACACACTGGGTCTAGTGACACGTTTGCAACCGCAGCACTTGGGAGGCAGAAGTAGTTAGGCTAGCCTGGGCTAGAAAGTACTATCTTGTATCAAAAAACCAAGGGCTGGGGATGCAGCTTGGTGGCAGAATGCTTGCCTAGCATGTGCAAGACCCTGGGTTCAATTGCTAGTCCCCCCCAAAAATTCCCTTGCAAGGCAGGTCATACAGAATGTGCTACCAGTGATGAAAGTGATAACGCTTTAGTCTTGTGTTATGTGCTATACACTGCTAGAAACTGCTAACGGGCTCAGAAATGCTTTTTGTCATCAGTTTTTAGATCCTTTTGATGGCCATTCAGAAGATAACCCTGGACATTCCTACCAACGTGCCCACCGTTCTCTGGGACACAGGAACTGCAGTGTGCCTCCAAACACACTGAAATCTAAGAGCCCTGAGGAAGTGAGTATGGCAGACTTTCTGTCACCAAGGGTTCCAGACCTCCTGGTGAAGGGTGCCGGCTGGGCCCCTGCATCCCTGGACACCAATGATGTGGACATGCTGCCTGAGGGCGAATTGAAGCTTCCTATGGAGGTCCACCACTACCCAGAGGCAGAAGGATGGAACACCAGGCCAGCTGCATGGCCGGAGGACTGGAGAACAACCAGGCCAGCTGACCCGTTGGCTCCTGTGGAGCCCTCCTTGGGGGCCAGACACCTGCCAAGCAGAACCAGGGGCACACGGCTGTCCCCCAGACTCGGAAGTGAGAGAGACAAGGGGCCCAGGCTGTCACTCTCCAAGAGGAAGCTAGAACTTTTACTCGCAGAGCCTGAAAAGCCTAAGAGAAGGAAGTACACGACCTATTCCAAGGGTTGGTCTAAGTTATTGTTAATGGATGTACGAGTTTTTAAAATGAAACTTATGACCCTTTCTGCAGGTCTTAAATAATAAATAAGTCCCTGCCACCTAGAGTAAAAATGAGTTTGCAATTCAGGGAAGGTCCCGGGTGGCTCTCACTGACCCATACATCCTGAATTTCATTACTTTTACCAAATTATTTTTGCAGCCTTGTGTATGCTAGTCAAGGGCTCTACCACTGAGCCACACCCCCAAGCCGGCTTTCATTAAATCTTTGTAAATCCTAAAGACTAGTTATTTTCTGGCGTTTACAACTGCACCGTTGGGCTCTATTCCTGATGTGTTCAGAACCCTTCCTCCACTGTGTGCTTTAATTTATGGCCCTCATTCCTCACTAAGGTTTTCTGAGCTGTCATCTTGGGCTCAGCTGGTATTTAAAAACAGCAGGGTGATGGGGGTTCTCTGACCATTTCCCTACTTCGGCTGGTTTGTTCACCGAACTTTAATTTGCTTCCTGGCAGGTAGCAAGAGCAGAGAGCATGTCTGGTGCTGATGCTGGTGGTCTTACCCCAACCTTCTCTCCGAGTCTCCATGTCCACCTGGCCACAGGACCTTTCCATTCCCAAGTGCAAATAAAAGAAGCTACCACAAAGAGGCACTTGTTCATCCTGGTGGGGAACCTTGAGGATGCTGTTGAGGTCCACTCCCAGTCCCTCAATTTGGGGAGTAGGTCCTGTTTATCCTTCTGCTAACGCTGCTGCTCATTCTGCCAGGGAGGGTAAGTAGGGTTGATGGAGACTGTCTAGCAGGACCCTTCGGATTGTGGGACAAGCAGGCGGGGGACTTAGAGGTGGAGGTCCTGCTATGAGCTGGAGTGAGCCTGCTGTTCCCAAAAGTGTCTCACAAGCCCAATGGAACAAGCTCAGCATGAGGAGGACTAGGGATCCAGGTGATGTCCTATGGATGCTAGCTTGGGAGGTAGTGAGGAAAAGCCTCAGGTGTTCCTGTGGGGTCTGCATGGCAGCCCTTGACTTTGGAGGCTCAACCCTGGAACATGTAAGCATCCCTTTTCCAGGGGTCTTGGTGGTATATGGTGGCTGGGCTGCTTCTGCTCACTGACCTGTGGGCTGGAGTTACTTGCTTCTGGCTCAAGAACTCACTATGTTCCCTCCCAGACAGGACAGGGATTAATAGAACAGTGCCTCTCTGTATTAAGGAATCTTAGCCTTGACTAGGATCATGCACCATTCACAGGCCCAGTGGCTCCTGGGTGGCCACCAGGGCCTGCACTGAGCCAAGGTCTCTCCCTGATCAGACCTGGGAGCTCTGAAAAGATGCTGAGACATAAGTCACCCCCCACTGTGATGTGAGGAGCAAGGCCAGTGTCTGAGCTGCTCTAATTGTCACCACCCTGTATGGGAATGACTGTGCTGTGTGCTGCAGGATGGGCTGGTGGTGAAACCGACCAGGGTATCAACCTCATGTCTGAGACAGAAAACAACACCCTTTCCCCCAGACAGGGCTGTGAGGCCTTGGGGATCAAACACAGCCTGGACATTTTCTGGCCTCATCTGGCCATTTCTTCATTTGTGAAGGGACCCTGGCTTCTTCATTCACAGATATGGTGGCTGCTGGAGAACAAGTTCCTGACAAAAGTGAAGTGGCTTGGAGGGTAGCTGGTAGTGGTTGCCCCAAGGGCTGCCCCAAACCAGGCACACAATCTGCTGTGGCCAACAGCAGCGGCCTAGACCCAAGTCAGAAGCCTGCTCCCAGGCCCAGGGACTCCAGGACTTGGGGCTGCACTGAAACAGGAGGTAGAAGCCAGTCATGCTTAGTGTTTTATTTCGAAAAACAAGCCATGCTGTCCATAACCCTCAAAAAACACATACTTTTATCTTTATAAATTTCCACTGTTCCCAACCGCCAGCTCCCTCTACTTCAACACAAACCAACAACTTTCTTCTCGTAAGTCCATGTCTTCCAAATGTTTATGACAAATCAATGTTAAATATTCAATCTTACTATTGCAGAAAGTGGAGGCTAAGAGGAGTTTAGTTTTACTCTGTGCACAGGACTGCAACACCACGCTCATAGAAGCTTCGAGGATCTTCCTTTGTAGCAATTTCAAAGTCTACAGTAAAGATCAGGTCTGCCCGGGTGAAGTTCAGATAGACAGGTAAGGTCACCTGTGAGAAAGGCAGAGGGGTTATACTGCTGACGCGGGGAGAGGCAAGCAAGCCAGGGACCAGAAATGACTTTGGCAATAGAGAGGTTTGCATAGAAGGACACGGGTGGTGGTCATGAGGGTAGAGCTCCAGGCGTGGAAATAAGGGACGGTCTGACCAGACAACAGGCCACTTACCACGTTAGCCTTTTTCTCGGCATTTGTCTGCTTGACCCAGCGTAGCTGTGTTAGAGGAAGGACGGTCGAGATGGCATTGGAGAGGGATAACTTGTTGTTGTTGCACGTGGCCCCCTGAAGTTTCAGACCTGTGAGGAAGTTGAGATCTTCCTTAAGTGGACACACAGCTCCTACAGACTGATGATCTGGGCAGCTCTGACTGTTCACCTTCATTTGTGAACAGTGGCCTAGGGCCACCAAAGCCACCCGCAAGTGGGTTAGGTTGGCTTTAGAGAAAACCACCCAAGGCAGATGAGTGAACAGAGACTCCACTTACCTGTGACCCCAAAGCTGCAGGCATCCAGGGTAGCACCCTGAGTGCTGGTGACATTAACTTCCAGGCAGAGCTCTTCCAGGGACCAACTGGTAGCCTGGGCCACATACTGCCTGGTGGCAGTGATGTAGGCCTCAGGCACAAATAGGCCGCCCAGGTACACATGGACATTCTGTGGGAAAAGCAGCCCCAAGGAAGGAGCTTGGGTCAGGCCTGGGGCTGTCCCCAGAGTTGCCCCAGAGCTCATGCAGGATGTGCCGCCCATGCCTGGGTGAGGGGCCAGTCCCTAGTCCCTAGGCTCTTTCTGAGCATGCTTCCCCACCTTGAGCTCCTTGGCTCCACCTGATGCAGCTGCCTGTGAGATGTTCTGCAGCTGTTTAATCCGCTCACTGAAGTCTGACACCCACTGGATGACCGTCATGCCAGCGGGCACTGTGTAGTGGGACCAGCTTCGAGGCAAGATCCCTGCAGCAAGGCATGGAGACCCCAAAGTTCAGTGTTGGTTCTGACAGTGCCCCTGTCCAAAGGGGGCAAACCTGCCAGTACTCATATCCTTCAAACTGTCTCCTCCCTGGCTATACCTGGTGCCCCTGTTTGGGCCGTCCATTACCTATGAATCCTCTGCACCCTGGTTGTCCCAGGACATGTTTGTTCAGTGTATTTCTAGGGTCAAATTAGGCGTGTGTGCATGGAGGCATCCATGTAAGCCATGGCTAGAGCCTCATAACACACAAGTGGCTCGCCGCTCCTGGTGGGTGGGACTGCCATGCTCTTGTATGTTTCACCCTGCTTTTGCATTTACTCTGTCTTGGTCCATCTTGTTCTCCATAGGCCCCAACCCACCATGTTCCCCCTTCATGGCACTGAAACACCCCTTAAGAACTGTTGAGGCTGAGCAGATACACAACTGCCCAGAGCCATGAACACCATCACAGTCCTGCTGCGAAGGGCTGCCTCTGTCCCTTTTGAAATCATCTGCCCAACTTACAGAAGATGGGCAGTTCTGGAATATTTTATTTTTTTGTGGTACTAGGACTTGACTCGGCCTACACCTTGAGCCACTCCACTAGCCCTTTTTTTTGTTTGTGATGGGTTCTTTTGGAGATAGGGTCTTGTGGAATGGTAATCCTCTTGATCATCTGCCTCCTGAGTAGCTAGGATCACAGGTGTGAGCCATTGGTGCCCAGCAGTTCTAGACTATTTTAAGTCAGTTTAAAAGGGTTACTTCTCTTGCTCAAAGCCACGGATTAGCTGTGCCTGCTCAGTTAGACAACACTAAGCCCATGCTCGCCTTCAAGCTAAACTTGCTCCAGCCACTTCAAGCCTACAGGACCAGCTACCTTGATGTTTTCCACAGTGCGTTTCAGTGGGCTCAGTGTCTGGGGAATGAGATGCAGCCAGTTGGATGCTGTGGTGTGCAGTGTCCTCATCCAGGCTGGGCGCCATCAGATGTGGAGTCTGTCCTTGTCTTTTCTCAGTCCTCTGCATATGCCCAGTCGTCTCATCCTCCAGCATCTGCATCTTTAGCATTTTACTGATCATGTCCACACCTAAGCCACAGTCCAGCAGCAGCAGTGGGGAGGAGAAGGGTAGGAGATCAAGAGGAAAAAGACTTTAATGTAAAGGCCACCACTGAGTAACAACAGTGGCCTGAAAGGTACTAGTAGGTTAATATGGCTTTAGCTTTGTGGTGCTGCGTGGGGATGGCACGTAGGCCTCTCTGAGTTACAGCCCACCCATATGTGACTTTAAAGCACAGAAGATGACCTGGCCAGAAGGCAAGGAGATAATACAGAACAATTGTCAACAGGTCAAGTATAGGACTGTCAAAATGGAACCAGCTGGCCTGGGTACAAATAGAATGAGGCTTCTCCCAGTCCATGGTCAGTGACCGCGGCTGGACTACCTGAGCCACGGCCGTGCCTCTGGTGTGGTCTCTACTCTGTCCATGCCAACCAGCCTTCTTGCAAGCAGTCATGCCAGTCTGTGACTGAAGGTACCTTGGTGTGTGGGTCCATCTCTGGGTTATAGCTTCCCTGCCCTGTCCTCATCCATGGAGGTGTTTGTGGGAAGGCCAGGAGCTAGGTGCCCAGAAAGCCAGGTGCCCACTCAAACCCCAGGCCTCCACACAGTGTTTGTGCTGGCCGTTTGCTGTGTGCTGTCCTGGGATTAGGTGAGGTTGACAGATTTAACTTCCCCAGATGGTATTGGTGAGCACAGGGCTCAAAAAAGAGTTATCATGGGATTGAGGGGTATTTACAGGGGCCAGTTATGGAACCAAGGTGTGGTTCAGAGCATGTGAAGCAGTAATGGTGAGTCTTAAATAATTTAAGAACAGACTTTCGACTAGAGATTTGTGGGGCCCACCCCGTTCCAAAAGAGCATGTCTGGGGTGGATCCTCAAATGGTTTTAATGGGGGGTAGCAGGGCGGTGCTTGGGATAGAACCTAGGGCTTACACATGCTGGGACAAGCTCTACCACTGAGCTACCCCTCAGCTCCAGTGTTTATTTGTAATAAGTTCTAGGTGAGGCTCCTACTGGTCTGGGGAACTGTATGTTGAGAACACTGATTAGAAAATTTCTTTTTTCTTTTGGCTTATAGTATTTCTGAATAGTCTTAGAGAAAAAAAATCTTGTGAATTAAAGGAAAACTGCTAAAATATATATATTCCAGGAAAATACTAATGGTTTTAAAATATGACTTAAGGGGAGAATACGGTTCAGTGCTAAGAGTGCCTTGCTACCATGTTGAGACCCTAGGTTCCTCTCAGCACCAGGAAAAAAAAAAAAATCTGTATTGAATATGTGATGAAAATCTAATGAAGTTTACCAGCCCTCCATTACATAACCAGCAAGCCTTTTCTCCAGAACCAAAGTCTGGTATTGACCCACCACAGTTCAGGATCTTCTTTGCACCATAGCAGCAGCAGCAGCAGCAAATGAAGGGAGAGTGGTGGAGAGGCAGCAACCTGAGGCTGACTGAACCCACTATCAAGACCAGACTTAAGAGATTGGGAGAGAAGGGCAGCGCAGCAGGGGTTACCCACCCTGGGTAGTGAGGAGGACCCTCTCAGCGTTGTTGGGCAGGCCCAGCCAGGAGGCGTCTGGGTGTCGGGGAGCAGCTCCACCCACTGCACAAAACTCCTTCTCGCCTGGAAAGGCAGCACATTTGGACCCAAGTGTAAGGGATGGCACTCTGTGCCTTGCCAGCTGCCTCCCACATCACAACCACAATCTGCCCTGAAGTCAGCTTGCGCACCTGATTCCATCGGGCATTTGAATATCCTTGTGTCCATCGACCTTGCAGGCCAGCTTGAATTCACTATCGAAAATCCTGGTGGTGAAGAGCCGCTCCAGGAAGGTGTTGAGTAGACGCTGGTCGAACTCATTGTCCACGCGCCCCCCATAAATAGATTGGGCCATCAAGGTCTGAGAGCGGACCACGGGATCTTATCAGGTGAGATGTTCTGCCTGCCTGGGTGGGAGAGGCTGGTTACATGCACGCCCTCGGAGGATGGCTTGGTGTTTCCTTACACTAACGTCAAGAAGGTACACCTCAGTCTGCTGTGTTTTCGGCTGCTAGAACATGTCAGCTTGTTCCTGAACCTGATTTACATCCTTCCCCATAAAACAAGTGATCTAAGGGGAGAGTGGTGGAGAGGCATCCAACCTGAGGCTGACTGACCCCACTATCAAGACCAGACTTAAGAGATGGGGAGAAGAGGGCAGCGCAGCAGGGGTTACCCACCTGGGTAGTGAGGAGGACCCTCTCAGCGTTGTTGGGCAGGCCCAGCCAGGAGGGCGTCTGGGTGTCGGGGAGCAGCTCCACCCACTGCACAAACTCCTCTCGCCTGGAAAGGCAGCACATTTGGACCCAAGTGTAAGGGATGGCACTCTGTGCCTTGCCAGCTGCCTCCCACATCACAACCACATCTGCCCTGAAGTCAGCTGCGCACCTGATTCCATCGGGCATTTGAATATCCTTGTGTCCATCGACCTTGCAGGCCAGCTTGAATTCACTATCGAAACTCCTGGTGGTGAACAGCCGCTCCAGGAAGGTGTTGAGTAGACGCTGGTCGAACTCATTGTCCACGCGCCCCCCATAAATAGATTGGGCCATCAAGGTCTTGAGAGCGGACCACGGGATCTTATCAGGTGAGATGTTCTGCCTGCCCTGGGGTGGGAGAGGCTGGGTTACATGCACGCCCTCGGAGGATGGCTTGTGTTCTTCCTTACACTAACGTCAAGAAGGTACACCTCAGTCTGCTGTGTTTCGGCTGCTAGAACATGTCAGCTTGTTCCCTGAACCCTGATTTACATCCTTCCCCATAACAAGTGATCTAAGTATGCTTTCTCCCTAAGTGCATACACATTCCTGGTGTGGCCCAGCCTACTTGCCTTGGCCGTGTCATCCAGCCACGTGTCTACCGTGTCACAGGCAGACCGCAGGTCAGATTCTCCGAATTCGTATTTCTTTGACCACCCCAGTGGTGCATACCGCAGGCGCTCTTGGATGATGGCATGGAACCAGGCCAGTAGGAAATACAAGCGGGCACGTTCATTGGGTGACTAGGTGAGGAAAGTTGACAGAGGACAGAAGCATCAGAAAGCAGCATGCTTTCTGTCTAAGAAAACAGTGTACGTGTTAGTCAGAAGCCAAGACCTGCAAAGAACTTTCCACACACTGACATCAGCCACCTGAACTGCAGGGCTCAAGCAGCAGGAAAGTCAAGTGGGTATGGCTGCTAGAAGAAAGTATGCCAGGTTTTCTATTAAAAAGGAAGGGACCCAATGACAACTGAAAAAATTCAGTCAGCCAACAGAAAATTATGAGAGGCTTTCTAAAACTGTGTACTAGGAAATAGTGGATTATGGCACAAAATAAGATAGTACTTATGACATACAGAAAGAAGTGGTGCAAGATCCTTGTAACAATCCCCTCCTCTTGCCCAGCTCCTCAGTCTTCATACAGCCCTCATGATGTTATGATGGGGATTACCCACCACCCTCTGTGGTACAAAACTCTGGTTTACAGTTTCACTGTTGGGGAGTCTGCTCACCCGGGACCTACTCTCCACACCCCATAACAAAACACTGTGTACACGGACTTCTACATGTGACAAGGAAATTACCTATGTAACGTGCCAAGATGGCAATGGTAGGAAGCAGAGCTCTGCTTTCCAGTTCAGGAGGGACCCTGGGTCTTTTGGGATTACAGAGAAAGCACACCAGGAGGGCATTATCTATACCTTGCATATACGAGACACAGGGATGCTACTGAATGTCCTCAGCATGTTGGCTTTCACCCCTGGTGGGGGCTCGAACACAAAGATGCGGCCCGCACGGAGCAAATTCACAGGCACCTGAGAGAGAACATGACTCCCGTGACTTCCGAGCTTTGATACAGGTGTTTCTTCAATGACATGCACCCAGCTTACACAGAAGTTCACACCAGTGCCCACCATCCCATGTCCTCTTGCTCACCTTGGGGTTGATTTCCATGGTAAGGAAGAGTCGGAAGCAGGCGTGTGGCTGCAGGGAGTGCAGCTTCTTCTCCAGTTGCATCAACCATCCTGGGGCCAAATGAACATTCTTCAGCATCACCCACCTGCGCACACAGAGAAAAGGCACAGTGACACTCGGGCCTTCCACCACAATTCCTGGGGACTCAGGTTTTTAAAACAAAACCAATTAGGCCTACCTGCCTGA